TAATCTTTTATTTCACCTCTTCTGATTGTTTCATGTTTAATGTGCCCTTCTTTTACCTGTGTCTGAGGAATGTCTGATTATTGACTCTGTATCTTTTTAAGATTTAACTTTTATTGACTTATTTTAATTTGAACAGAGAAGGGGGGGAGAGAGAGAGAGCACGCGCAAAAGCAAGACGCCAGATCCAAGACTTGAACTGTGGTCGGCCATCTGGGAATCTAGTACCATCACCTGCTGGCCCCTTTTGAATCTTCCTTAATACAGGCGTTTACAGCTAGGCATGTTCTATACAAGTATTGCTTAAGCTTTATCACGTAAGTTTTAGTGTATTGTATCTTTATTTTCATTTATCTCAAGGTATTTTCTATTTTTTTAAGTGTATTTCTAATTTATGATAGAGAATGAATGCAAGCACATGCATGAGACAGCGAGATGGTGCCATCCTTCAGAGGGTCCTGTCATGCTGCAATCACCTTTTCCTGACCCTCCAGTTTATCAGGACTTCAGGCACGTGCACATGCATTTGTGGTATTTTGCAAACAGACCTGTGGACTCGAATCCACAGTGGATGTAACTTCCAGCACCACAATTCAGTTTGCTACAAACAGGTCAACCAAATGGGGCTTCAAAAGTATTCTCGAATTTCCTTTTTGACTCCCTCCTTTGACTTGTTATTTAGATGTATATAGTTAATTTCCCTATATTTGTAAATTTTCAGTTTTACTCTTTTATTGATTTCTAGTTTCATTCCTTTGTGGTTGGAATAATACACTGGGTACAAGAATGTATGCGGGGCCAGCAGGTGGCATGGTGGTTAAGTGCTGGATACTCCCACATAGCTGACAACGGTTCGAGTCCCTGATCTGATGGCTTGCTTTCTCACTTTCTCTCTCTCTGGTCCAAAAAAAAACCCAAAAAAACCCAAAAAAACAAAAAACACAAATGAATGAAAAAATAAAATTAAATAATTCTTTTAAAAAAGAATGAATGTATTTTTAAGGTGGAGTTACACATAACTGTTAGGTCTACTTGGTCAGTACTGTTGCTCAAGCCTTCTATTTCCTTGTAATCTGTCTAGTTTTTCTATTCATTACTGAAAGCCACATACTACATCTGTCAACGATTATTGTTGATAATTTAGATAATTATGTTTTATCAACTCTGGATACTGATTTCCCCACTTTGGAATTTATTATCATTTTGTTATTGTTTTTCAGGACAAGGTACTGCTCTGTTGCCTAGGTCAGCTTCAGGCTAATGATCCTCCTACCTCAGACTCCTTGAGTTGCTGGAATCGTAGGCGTACACCACTGCGTAGGGCCTTTACAAGCCAAGACCTACCATATGATCTCAGCCTGTGGAAAAGTGTCTTAACAGTATGGGCAGAGACTTGTTATTGATTATGCTTGTTTGCTAAATGACTGAGTGGCTTATTTTAGTAGACTGCATACTCCTAATCCCACAATGTTAAACTTTTGATGTTGTTCCTCAGGGCGCTAACGTTTGGGACTACCCACAGTCACCCTGAGATCACAATGGACTTGTAAGGATTCTCTTTCTTGGTTTCTCTGAATACATCTGTTAAGTTCCACTAACTGCTAGCTGATTACCCCACTGACTCCAACAATGCATTGGAGTATAAACTAATCCATGGACTAAACATATCAAACTGGATTCCTACAAAGGGAAAGTTCTAGAGGTCAATGTTTGAGATGTTTTGAGCCCTGGATGATCTCTTCCTAACTGTGTCTTTGCCTAGTTTTCTCAGGAAAGCTAGCAGGATTTCAGTTAAGTCTAAACATTCAATCTGTCTACAAATTTCCTCACAATTAACTTTCCCCACAACCTCCCCTTTTTCTGAGGATAACTTCCTAGCACTATGTAGTAAATGAAACCAATTCCTTTAGAAAGAGATTATGGTTTATGGCCTACATTTTCCTACAGGCAAAAATCTCAAAGCCATGGCTCCGGTGCTGGTAGTAGGGTCAATGGCCCACTTTTCGCTGAGTGACAAACCTGCTTTAGTTGGTAATGCCTAAAGCAGAGCTTCCAACCTGAGAGCAGAGACAGTGCAGAAAAAAAGAAGCCCCCCACCTTATACTAGGTCAACAACAGGCAGCTAGAGGCACTGCTGATATCCTGGCTCCTCCAACTGGGAGCTGAGGGAAAAGAAGCCTTGTCTTCTTGACTACACCAATCTAGCATGGAGTTACCATCTCATTCATTTGGGATTAAGGAAAGAGTCAGTCTTAATTCAACTAACAGATCCTTGCTGCTCTTATAAAACTTTAGTAAATATTCTTAAATAAATGTTTCTTCATTTGGTATATTTCCTTTAGAATATAATTCAGGGGGCTTACTCTTTTTTTTTTTGTTTTTAAAATAAGAGCCATCACTTTTCCTGGGAGTACAACATGTTGTTGTGTTCTGAAGTCTCTTTCGGCCAGTGAGCTTCTAAAAGTGTAAATTAGATCATGTTCACATTCAACACTCTCCAAAAATCCCCTTCACATTTATAAAAAAGTCCAAATTTTCTACTAAGCTCCACAGGAAGCGCCACCAGATCTCACTCCAACTCTTTTTTTACTTTGCTGATTCTGTTCTCAGCTGTGTCTTGACAAGGATGTTCTTCCCCAGGGTCTTCACACTTCCTGTTCCTCTAGAGAGTGCTAGAGCTTTTTTCTCCATGGCTTTATTCTTTATTTCATTTAGATCTCATCTCAAATGTCATCTCAAGACCTTTTTCTAAAACAGTACTAGTTGTTCATTCATTATTTATTTACCTATACATGCATGAGTGCAAGTAAGAGTTTTAAACATGGTGACAAAAATTTTTAAAGCTCTACAGGCAATCATAATGTCATTCACTCTTTATTCATGTATCATTTGTTTTCTTTAAAACACAAAATTTATTTGACACATTTAGTTTCTCATTTGGTTAACAGTTTTCTCCCATTAGGGACCAGCAGACAGCATAATGGTTACGTCACTGGACATCCACGTAGTTGACTGTGGTTTGAGTCCTGGACCTGGTGGCTTAAAACTTACACTGGGCACGTGTATGTGCATGCCCAAAATCCTGAGAGGAGAATGGAGAAGAGATTGTGGTGTGGCCATCTCCCCTCAAGTATGACCTCTTGCTTTCTGTCTGTCTCTCTCTGGCAAGTGCACATACCCTACACTAAAAATTTCTCTTAAAAAAAAAAAAAGTTTTCTCTCATTAGAACAAATATTCTAGGAGAGCAGAGAGTTTGGCCTGTGTTGTTCACCACTGTATTGCTAGTACCTGGACTAATACTTAGCACATAGTCCTCACTCAATACAGATTTCTAAATAAATAAACATGAAGTGTTTTTTGTTTTTTGTTTTTTTTTAAATTACTTGTATTGTAAATGACCAGTTTCGGATCAGATGTTAGTCAGAGCTGCTAGAACCACAGAGAAAGGTCGTAGGTTCATGGACAGGGTCCTCCTCACAGATACCTATGCATATGTGCTCAAGAACTAAACAGCTGAGACTGGGAAATGGTTGTGATATGAGGACCTTGTTGAAGAGCCTATGGCTCTAGCTCTCCCTCTCTCTCATCTCCTCTCTTATGAAATAAATAAGTAAATAAAAATTTTTTTAAAAAAATTATAACTTCTGGGGCCAGCAGGTGGCATAGGGTTAATGTGCTGGACTCCTACCTGGTTGACCACAGTCTGAGTCCTGAACCCAGCGGCTTGAAACTCATGCTGAGCACTTGCGCATATGTGCCCAAAATCTTGAAAGGAGAATGGAGGAGAAGGATTGTGATGTGGCCATCCTGTCTCTCTAGCAAGCACACAGTACCCTATAGCAAAAATTGCCCTTCTCCCCAGATAACAACTTCTGTGGCTTGCAAGTAGCATGGTGGTTAAGAGTGCTGGACTCCCACGTGGTATGGTGGTTAAGGCACTGGATTCCACATGGCTGACTACTGGGTTGAGGACCCAGCAGCTTAAAAAACATATGGTGCATATGCATGTGAGCCCAAATCCAGAGACAACTGTGGTCTGGTCATCCCCCTTAGGGGATGATGCTGCTGATGATTCTCTCTCTCTCTCTCACCGGGGCAGTGCACACACCCATTATAGCAAAAAGACACATACAGAGAAAGAAAGAAATGAAAGTAACACTTGTAATTTAATGGGAAAGTAAAAACAATACTAAAATGGCAAATGTCTACATTATTAGTCACTAGTTTTGACAGGGGTACTTAAAAATATAGAAAATAGGGAACCAGCAGTTAGCGTAATGGCTATGTCTCTGGACTCCTACGCAGTTGACTGCGGATCACGTCCCAGACCTGGTGGCTTAAAACTTACGCCAGGCGCGTGTGCGTGCGTGGCCAAGATCCCGAGAGGAGAATGGAAGAGAAGGGATTGCAGCGTGACCATCCCCCCTGGGGGGTGATTTCTCACTTTCTGTCTCTATGTCTCTCTCTGTCTGTCTGGCGAGCGCACGCATCCTGTAGCGAAAACCTCTCCAAAAAAATAAATAAATAAATAAAATATATAGATAGATAGATAGATGGATAGAAAATATAATCAGACTGAAAATCCTTAATCGAATATAAATTTCTCACTAAGTGTAAACAAAATTCTTTAATATATAAAAAAAGAAGTACATTGGGAACCAGCAGTTAGTGTAATGGCTATGGCGCTGGACTCCCACGTAGCTGGCTTAAAACTCACGCAGGGTGCATGTGCGTGCGTGCCCAAGATCCCGAGAGGAGAATGGAGGAGAAGGGACTGCGGTGTGACCATCCCCCCTGGGGGGTGATTTCTCGCTTTCTGTCTCTATGTCTCTCTCTGTCTGTCTGGCAAGGGCATGCGTCCTATAGCAAAAATCCTCTTCCCCCCCACCAAAAAAAAGAAGTACATTATTTTTATGTTCTCTCTCATACTTTTCTGTCATTTCAAGCTCTGCAGTGGATTTCAAAGGGCTATGCAAAATAAACTTCGGTTATGAAGTTTTACCTTGAGTCCTGTTTTCTCGTCATCACTTCCATTATTTGTAGATGGTGTCTCATCTCCTTGCCTGGAAACCAAGACAAAATCTTCACTATTAAGAGTAGATACTGAGTCTGAGGAGACACTGATTTTTCCAACAGAAGCTTTGTCATCCATAACTCAAGAATGAGGCTCAACTCATGAATGATTAAATATTTTTATAATGCCTGAAAAACAAAAACCATAAAGATATTCATACAAAATGTCTGTCAGGTATTCATTCACTTATTCCTAAATTCTAATTCTTATGACCACATATGGAAAATGTTTTTAAAAAATATTTTCAAAATATTTTCCAGGACTTCCACTACTAACAGTTGAGGCTTTTTAGTCCAGATAATGATGAAATTTTATGCTACTCAGGGTCAAAATATGTCAAATAAATACATATATGTATACAATAAAAACAGGTAGTCCCTTCAGAATAAGCCTGTTTACTTTCAGTGATTTCTTTGGCATATGTTGCAAATCTAGTTTTGTTAACTATTAAACCCCTGTCTTATATCATTTTAATTTGTAAAGCTGTACACAAAAATTAAAAACACTTGGTTATTGTCAAAGCACAGTAACTAAGGTCTTCCCAGCATTACTGATAACTCAACTCAGTACTAACGTTACCCAATAAAAGAGTTTCATGCCATAAATTCCCGGCAAAAATATAAAGAGCAATATGAAAAGTCATTCAATTATTACTGACTTCTGGAATAAAAGTAAGTCTTATCTACCATTTTAAAACCTGTTTCTATATACATTGTGGCAATGTTCCCATTTGATTGCCAAAATATCAACAGAACAATGTAACATCAAGCTTAAAGAGTTTTAACCCATTAACAAAAGTAGCTATGTAGTTCTAAGTTCCTCCTGTACCTCAAAGTTATGAGAGCCTGTTTATTATCTCCAACTGAGCAGTCTTGATTTATGTTTTGTATTTTTAACTGAATATATAGAGTATACAGCACATGTCAAGAACTAATTCCTCCTCAAAACCCACTTACAAACAACAGGCAGCAGGGATTACACAATCTCTGTTTATGTGTTATGGTTAGAAGAAAATATAGAAATCAATACTGTTAAACAGTTATGGAAATGGCAGTTTCAAGAGAAGTAAGGTAATTTAACAAATGGACACACAGCTAGGGCTAAAAACTGGATTCTGTTTTTTTTTTTTTTTTTTTTTTTAATACTACTCTCCAGCTTAAAGTTTGTAGTAAGTCTACTTTTTATTATACTCAAATGTAAATAATGGGATTCACAAACACTTAAAATGTACTTCAGAAAAATTAAAATACTGTTTAAAACCATTCATTCAGTGAATGCTTATTGAACTAGTGTATAAAGGATATGTTATTATGATAAACAAAAGAAATTAGATCTTTGACCAAAACTTTTTTTTTTTTTTTTTTTTTTTTTTTTTTAATACTACTCTCCAGCTTAAAGTTTGTAGTAAGTCTACTTTTTATTATACTCAAATGTAAATAATGGGATTCACAAACACTTAAAATGTACTTCAGAAAAATTAAAATACTGTTTAAAACCATTCATTCAGTGAATGCTTATTGAACTAGTGTATAAAGGATATGTTATTATGATAAACAAAAGAAATTAGATCTTTGACCAAATTTTTTTTTTTTTTTTTTTTTTTTTTTAAGATTTGCTATAGGGCATGTGTGTTCACTGGAGGGAGACAGAAACATAGAGAGGGAAAAAGTAAGAAATCACTCCCCAGTCTGGATGGCTATGCCACAATCCCTTCTCCTCCATTTTCTTCACGGAATAGTGGACATAGATAGGCACCCAGTGTGTTCTTTTAAGCCCCTGGGGCCAGGACTCGAACAGTTAAGTTGGCTATGTGAAATCCAGGTGTCTTAACCACCACACCACTGGCTGGCCCAGAAGGAATTTACAGTTTTGGAGAAGACAGAGGCAAACTGCAGAGGCAAATGAGTGATTATTATATTTATGGTAAAGAACACTATAGGAACATGGTGGGAGAGGAACTACCTTAGAACTCTGCTAACAACAGATACTGTAATATCTCCAGGTATTCGCCCTCATAGGATCCTCTTCTTTGAGTGGTTTACTTGCTTCTGTATTTCATCAATTCCAACTCATCATTCATGATCTAAACCTCCTTCTCTTAGTGTTCTCAGTCCACTTGCCCATTTCCACCCAAGAGTCAAATGAATTGCATCCTTTGTTTGTTACTATAGCATACATTTGATTTTTTTATGGTACCTACCATTTTATAATTTATTAGACAAGTATTTCTTAATTTAAACACGTCTCTCTCTCACAGATGAGGAAATTAAGGATTAGAGAGATGGTTTAACTTCTTCAAGGTAATGTAACTAGTTAGTGATAAAGCCAAAAACTGAACGTACTTTTCTGTGATCCCAAAGGTTGTGTTCTATTCCACATTATATTACTGTTTTTCTCACGTCAAAAAGTTGGGCCTTGACCCTGAAACATTCAGTAGTTGGTGAAAGAAGTTCTAAAGAGAACTTGTATTTCAAGTGAGCTTTTCATCCTCAATCAAATCTTTTATCCATCTTTTAAAATATGATTAATAAGAGCCACAAGCTGGTGTGGTGGTTAAGGCACTGGATCCCACATGACTAACATGGCCATCCCCCCAGGGGGTGATTTCTCACTTTCTCTCTCTCCCCTTGCCCTTGAGTGCACATGCCCGATGGCAAAAACCTGAAATAACAGCAACGAAAATCTAAAACAACAACAAAAATGTGATTTATAGTAGAATAGCAGAAATTCTGAGAAAAATTACCTAAAGCTATGATTTAAGAGATACAACATTATTTAATACTCTTGAATCAAAAATACACTTCAGTATTTTTAACATAGAATTGAGAAGATCTGGTAGACTCAGTGTTCCACCTATTTTCTTTGAGGAGGTGATAAGAAAATACACTTTGTAAGATACTGTTTGTTTTGGTAACTGAATCACTCAGTTAGAATAAGGTTTATCAAAACACTAAATAACACAGGTAAAAATCATACAGTAAGACTCTTCTCCTTTGGCCTCCAAGGACGAAAGTGAAGAGGGAGTCCCTTAGCACCACAAGTTTTGGATAAGACCAACCCCTTTCCTAGCCTCCAATAATGAAGTGCCTCCAATAATGAAGTGCCTCAAAACTTTACTTCTGCCAGTATTTCAGATTCATAACCTTTGTCTTGACATCATAAGAATTAATTCTATTTTTTTAAAGAAGTTTTTGCTATAAGGCACGTGCGCTCGCTAGACAGAGAAAGACAGAGAGACAGAAAGCGAGAAATCACTCCCCAGGGGGGAATGGCCACGCCACAATCCCTTCTCCTCCATTCTTCTCTTGGGATCTTGGGCACGCATGCACACGCGCCCGGCGTGAGTTTTAAGCCACTGGGTCTGGGACACGAACCGCGGTTGACTATGTGGGAGTCCAGAGACATAGCCATTACGCTAACTGCTGGTCCCAAGCAGTCCTATTTGTGATGGAGAATCATGCAATTACTAAGTAAAAACCCAAGTCAGACTTGTGTTCAATATGTACTAATAGTATGAGCTTGGTTTTGTGAACTTTGTTTTCCATGAGAAAATGTTTGCTATCCATCTCATAGAGCAATTTAAAAATTCCTAAGGATTCTACCCATAAAACATTTAACAATTTGGGGCTGGCAGGTGGCATGGTAGTTAAAGCACTTTACATCCCCCACACGGCTGACTATGGTTTGAGTCCTGGACCTGGTGACTTGCTTTCTCATTTTCTCTCTCTCTGGTCAAGTTAAAAAATACTACTAAATTTAAAAAAAAATTTTTTTGAAACTAGTAATAAACATAGAACATTACAAACACCCAATGGTAACAGCTTTTCTTTCTTTTAATCTATTTAATTAAATTGATTAATTTATTTTAAATCTGACCAGAGAGACAGAGCGAGAGAAAAAGGGAAAGTAAGAAAGCAAGCTGCTACCAGCAGTTAGCGTAATGGCTATGTCGCTGGACTCCCACGTAGGTGACCTCGGTTCGCGTCCTGGACCCCATGGCTTAAAACTCACGCCGGGTGCGTGTGCGTGCGTGCCTAAGATCCCGAGAGGAGAATGGAGGAGAAGGGATTGCGGCGTGACCATCCCCCCTGGGGGGTGATTTCTCGCTTTCTGTCTCTATGTCTCTGTCTGTCTGGCGAGCGCACGCGCCCTATAGAGAAAACCTCTCCAAAACAAAAGCAAAAACAAAAACTCAGGCCGGGCGTGTGTGCATGCATGCCCAAGATCCCAAGAGGACAATGGAGGAGAAGGGATTGCGGCGTGGCCATCCCCTGGGGGGTGATTTCTTGCTTTCTGTCTCTCTGTCTGTCTGGCGAGTGCACGCGCCCTATAGCAAAAAGAAAAAAGAAAAAAAAAAAAAAAGCAAGCAAGCAAGCTGCTAGATCCAGGAATTGAACTGCGTTCAGTATGTGGGAGACCATCTTAACCACCACACCACCTGCTGGCCCCAGTAACACTTTTTTTCAAAAACTAACTTCCAATTAAAAAAAAAAAATTAACAGATATTAACGGACTTAATTAATTTAGGAAACAAATTACTGGGGTATAAATGTATAGATTTCCTAATTTCACATTCTTACTTGTTTTTACTGAAATATAAGCACAGAATACTCTGAATAAGATGCCTTAACTGTGCATAAGACAAAGGAATAAAATACATACCTTCTTTGTATCTCATCTCATCTTCCTAACAATTCTGTAAGGTAGACAGCACTAAGGATTATTATCTGATTTTACATAAGATAATATATACATGAATATCCTGGTATTTGGTAGGCACTCAGTTTGGCTCCTTCTTTTATAGGAATGATAAACCTAGGCCCCTGTAACATGTCCAGTCCATAGGGTCAGGTTGATAAGAGCATGTTCAGGGATATTTCCTTTCCTGCATCTAATAAAATAATGTCATTTAAGATGATAATCTTGTTTGTTTATGCAATCTCCTGCATCACAGTCAAAAGTTCAATTACACTGTATTTTTCATTACATTTACTCTTTGATTATTTTTATCTTACTTATTCATAAAAGATCACTAGAGATTTTGACTAAAAATTAGTTTCATGACAGCAAAACTCTTTTATAAACTTTTTACCAAATTCATTGTTCTGTAAAATGGCAATTTTATGCT